AGACATTATCAATAGAGTGAGAATCATACTTACCTATCTTTTCAACCCCAATGATCTCACCTTTCTTCTCATTTTCAAAGGAGATATTATCTCCTTTAAGGTCTTCAAGTGAAAGGAACTGGTTCTTACTTCCTGTCATGTACTTTGAGCAACCACTATCCATGTACCATATTTGGCTGCTCCCCTTCATTTAGACCTGCAAAAGGAAATCAGGGGTTAGTCATAGGAACCCAACCTAGTTTGGGACCCTTTCTATAGGCAAACAGATAAATCAAATTCTTTTTAGCCCAACTTGGCAGCCTATTTTTCCCTAGAATAATTTTTTTGTTCTTTTGATCTACCTTTTCTTTTGCAGTGCAATCACTGTTATAGTGACCAGTATTACCACAGTGTGTGCAAATTTTATTCTCAGGGATTGTGAGGTACTTGCTTTCAGGATCCCACTTAGGTGCAGAGTTCTTAAAGCCAAGTTTGTTTTGTTGCTACTATGATATTCTTGTAGCCATGAAAGTACATCAGAGGACCTGTACTATTAACAAGTTCTGTCTAGCTCGTGCTTAACCTTGTTTAGGTCCTCCTCTAAGACTCTTACCTGTTCATCCCTTTTATACAACTCATCTTTCATTTTGTCTACATTCTCTTCTAAAGTGAGATGTGTGTCACCAACTGTCTTTTTATCTGTTCCTATTTTCAATTTTAGATTTTCAGATCCAAGTTCTAGGATAGTTGTATCAAGTGCATAAACCTGGTTCTTTAATATAGTATTTTCATTTTCAGTTTCACAAGCCCTAAGTTCCAGATTTTTACATTTAGCTTTTAAAATGACACATTCTTTTGACAGTTATTCATTTTTATTATTCACATCCTCATATTCATCAATCAACTCTAGTAGTAATTCAGATAATCTTTCTTTAGATAAAAATTTAATCTTGTCTTTGATATGAAAGACACTTACACGGCTTCTTCATTAGATTTTCCAATAACCATTAGTGCTCGTTCATCACTATCATCATCATCATCATCATCGGAGCTTTTATCTGAGCTTTCTCCCTAAGAAGCAACTATAACCTTGGTTGATTATTTGTTATTTCCTTTCTTGGGATGAACCTGTTCCTTCTTCCTGTTCCTTCGTTCAGCTCTTTCCTTCTTCCACTCAATCTCCCACAAAGGACAGTTCTTGATCATGTGATCTGTCTTTACACACTTGTAGCAACCATCATTGGTTTTCTTCTCCAGAGCTCTTGCCTTGCTATAGTTTCCACTTCTTGAAGAACTCTTTCCTCTCCTTAGGTGCTTCTTGAAGTCTTTGGTGATCATTGTCATTTCATCATCTTCTAGATCAGAATCTTCAGTAATTCTGATTGCTAAACTCCTTTCCATCTTAGGTACATCCATTTTTATGCTTTGTCTCCTAAGTTCATAAGCAGTGAGATTTCCAATCAATTCATCCAAAGGAAGTGTAGCAATATTTTTTTATTCCTGGATAGCAGTGATCTTGCTTTTCCAAGTAATTGGCAAGACCCTAGTAAGTATCTTCTCAACCCTTTCTTCTTCAGGGATAATCCTGCCAAGAGATTTTAGTTCATTTGTCAATATAGTGTATCTTGTGTACATCTCCTAAATGGTTTCTCCATCCTTCATAGCAAAGTTTTATTACTGAGAGTAAAGTAGAGTTCCTCTTGATCTCTTCACCTGAGTTGTTCCTTCATGGGCCACTTGTAGTGTGTCCCAAATTTGCTTGGCAGTGGAATAACCTTAGATTTTGCTGCACTCATCTCGACCAAGTCCACAAACAAGCCATTTCTTGGCTTTTGTATTCTTTTCCCACTTTTTCAAATCCTCAACATTGCAATCAGCTCTTGTTTTTGGCACATCTATTCCTTCAGCATTTTTCTTCAAAGTAGCTAGTGGATCATCAGTGAAAATATCTCATAGCTCATAGTTATCTTCCTGTATGTGATCTCTCATTCTTGACTTCCACCAAGAGTAGTATTGGCCACTATAGAGTGGTGGCCTAGCAATGGATTGCCCTTCCCAATTTCCAGGTGGTGCACACATCTTAATCTTCTCCTAAGGTGTTATCCTCTTCCAGGATAACCCACTCTGATACCAATTGATATTTTATACTTCAATACCACATAAGAGGGGGGGGGGAGTGATTTGTGCGGTATTCAATTTTTTGTGTACACAGATTATAGAAGGACCTGATTCTTTTACGAGTTCCTTACACTACAATTGCGAAATAATAAATGCAGAAAGTAAAGAACACAAGTATTTTTACGTGAAAAATACCCGGCTCAAAAGATAAAAAAAACTACGACCTACTTCCCAGTAAGATTTCTTTCAACACTTCACTAAATCACTGAGCCAAACAACAACGTTAACAAAACTCTTATAAAGCTAAGGATTACATCTAACCCTTTGTGGCAACCAGCCTCAGGTTGTTGTGACATTAACTCTAACTTGAACACTGCAACTCAAAATACCTAGTATAAATTCTTTTAGAGAAAGCTGAAAGGTACAAATCAAAAGCCCTACTACAGTTGAACTAGAATAAAAGACAGACACTTGGAACTGGTTCTTCTATCTGGTTCATGTACCTTCAGGTTCGCACACTTGAAACACACAGGAATTGCTTGCAAAATACCTTGATATTTTGCTCTCAATTCTTGCTTAACTTTAGCGTTTGTGTGTCCCTGCCAAAGAGAACTCTACTTTTATATATATATATATATATATATATATAAGTAGAGTTATAATGTTTTACTCTTCCATGTTGGAAGAATTTTAGTTATTTTCAACTTCTAACTCCTCCCTTATCTAGGATAGAGATCTCTTCAAGTAAGGAATCCTGCTCCTTATCAATTATGCAACCTTTTTGTTTAGGAGATATCAGATATAACCACTTATGCTTATCCCCTTCACGTGCATGTCTTGTGCTTGAATCTGCGCTGCCTACACTATGTATGAACCTGGTTCATGCATGTGTTCCTTTGTAAATCATTAAAACAAAACTTACTCAAGCCAACAGGTACTATTTTTACACATCCTGGTTCATGCATGAGTTCTAATGCTTTACTCTTCCATGGTGGAAGAGTTCTAGTTATCTTCAACTTCTAACTCCTCCCTTATTTAGGATAGAGTTCTCTTCAAGTAAGGAGTCGTGCTCCTTATTAAGTATGCAACTTTTTCGTTTAGGAGATATCAGATATAACCACTTATGTTTATCCCCTTCACGTGCATGCCTCGTGCTTGAATCTGCCCTGCCTACACTGTGTATGAACTTGGTTCATGCATGTGTTCCTTTGTCAATCATCAAAACAAAACTTACTCAAGCCAATAGGTACTATTTTTATACACCCTACAAAACAACCCCTAAACACTAAATTATTTTCCTCTCGCTTCTTTATTTACAAAAACCCTTCCTTTCTCTCTTCCCTTCACACTATTAGGGATATAATAGATATGCCCTAGATCCAATCTCATATTTGATGATATGAGCATATCTTTGTGAATGTTATTTGATATAAAAATATATGGCATTTGATATAATTCTTTTATCATAGTTATTATTAATTGCTTGATTAATTTAATAAGGTCTTTGATTAAATTTTGAGACTTGTCATCGTGATGGAGTTCATGATAATGAGAGTAAAGTCTCTTACAATTTAATCTAAGTTTGTTCTTAATCGTAGGATTATTAATTTGGACATTAGTAATCCGGTTAGATCAATATCTATGTGATCGTCGTTATGAGATAAATATAAGTTTATCTCATTAACGAAATCACATATATAGATGGTATATATAGAGATATGATTATTGAACCGACTCATTGGATAATTCCTAATGGTTAGAATTACCATAAAATATCAATAGGATATTCTCTTAAAAAATGTGATGTAAGAGTTTCCTTTGACATGGGATCATCATAGTAATTGACTTGTGCTTTGATACTAGACACCTATGGTCCTAGGACGATACTTGAAAGGATATTGGGTACGATTAAATACTTGTAGAATTAGTGATTGATCAAGATGGAATCTGTCAATTCTTGGTAATGAGTTTAAGCTCCATGTTGTCATGAATTATAAACGGCCTAATTAAGACCTTGGACAGAGCAATTGAGTAAAAAGAAGAAAAGAGTTTCTTAGGTCATTTAATTATCGATTATATTTGACATGAACTCATAGTTGGTCACCTATTAGGATTTGACAGCTGAACCATATCCTAGGGTGGCCTAGAGTTATAAGGACAGAAGGAATTACTATAGTATTATTCTACTGGTTCTTGAAAGTAAGTTGTATACTTTATTCTATCCGGTCATTAAGGAGTGTTTTCTAGACACCACCCTTGATTAGTATATTGATGTGATCAATTTACTACCGTCTTAGTATTGAACCTATGGGGTCATACGCTAATGAGTGTTCTGATCTTTGCTAAATGATTAATTACTTTATTATTTGATAATTAAATTAAATAATTTAATTAGTCAAATAAATTAATTTATTAGTCCAAATGGAATATTGTTATATTTTTTGCTAGCATGGAGGATATAATTAATATTGTGAACACATTGAAGTTTTCTATTTGGAATAGAAAATTAAATTATATCTCCTGGTTTTAATATATATATATATATATATATATATATATAAATTAAAGATTTAATTGTGAAATTAAATTAGGAATTGAATTCCTAAAGAGCACGGCAATTTGCATTCCCATTTGATATGGGATTTGTAATTTCTTTAATAGGAAAATTTAGCAAACAAAGCCCATAAAGGACTTGTCACGTACTATAGTCCATGAAGGACGTTGACGGCATCAACCCATTTAGAATGGGGATTGCAATTGTTTCCTTAATTATTCCATAAAGTTTATTTTTGATATAAATTTTTACCCTAAATAAATTATTTACTTAACCAAATAAGAAAAGGATGCTATATAAGGGGTGACTAAGAAAATTTGGTTGAGAATAAAATCACTTAAAAATTTCAGAACAAGATTCTTTGGAAGAAATTTTTGAAACGAAGCTACCAAAAATTTTGATTGTTACTTTGTTCCGCTCTGTTACTGCGTGTTAGAATATCTATATACAATCCTACACACACTTCAAAGGTTATTGGTGGTTAGCAAAAGATTGAAAGGTGTTCCGGATTCTCACTCCCTCGTTGACGTTTCAGACCACTGTAGACCTGATAACGAGGCCACAAAGTCCATGGATGACCGAAAAGGGGAAAAGGGGCCTCTGTCTCTCAAACCTGCATGCAAAAATATCAAAGTGGAAAAAATATCATATAGTATCAAATTACCTGAGGACAAGAAGGTTTTCTGGGGGGCAGCGGAAAAGGCGAAATATTTGTCGTTCGAATCCAGGGTTGTTGCGGATGGGCACTGTGATATAAGTTCCTTTTTAAAATTTCAGAAATTAATTCCTCTAGATATCTATGAAGAAGCGGTAAAATATTTTTATGCAAACCTTAGAATCTCAAAAGACAGTGGCGAGTTGGAAACTCTAATTCTAGGAAAAAGAGTTGTTCTTGATGATGAATTTGAGATGATATTTGGTACTAAGTTCTCTGGAAAGTTTGAGTTTTTCTCTAGTGGCTGGCCACATGATTTCGAAATTTCTTTGGAGGAGGGTAAAGTGGTTGTGTCTGAACCCTATGCTGATCTTCAGGACTTTGGTCCAACCTGTCTTGAGTTTGAAAATAGAATAATAGCACATATTGTCTTCTCCAGCATGGGGTACTCTTTCGTTGATGGAAAGTGGACAAGAAAGGAAGATTCAGAAAGTGAAGTGCTAACAAAAGTAGAGGGATTGTCAACTTCAAAGAATGAAGATGAGACTGATACTCAGGCTCAACAAGCTAGCGTATGGGTTAATCGTGAAGAAGCTATTGATAATAGAGGCAAAAAGCAGACAACAGATGTGCCGGAAACTTCAAAGAATAAAACCAAGAAAAAAAAGGGTGTGCGTGCTCTTCAAGAAGATGATGATGATATTGATAAAATTCTGGCAGAGCTTGGTGAAGGACCAACAGTCTCTGCTCCCGTTCTTTCTGAAGAAAAAATGCAGGTACAGCCTGAGTCAAAAGAAGCAGTTGAGTCTGCTGCGAAGAAGAAGAAGAAAAAGAAGGAGAAGAAGGAAAAAGAGAAAAAGGCAGCTGCAGCAGCTGTCTCGGGGATGGAGGAAGAAACAAAGAATGATACCAAAGGAAAATTGCCAGATAGAAAGCAGTCGAAGCAGGTTAAGGAGATGCAAGAGAGACTTAAAAAAATGAAGGAAGCTGAAGAAAGGAAGAAGAAGGATGAAGAGGAAAGGTTAAGGAAGGAAGAGGAAGAAAGACTTCGACTGGAAGAACTAGAAAGACTTGCAGAGGAGAAGAAGCGCTTGAAAAAGGAGAGGGAGAAGGAAAAGCTCTTGAAAAAAAAACAGGAAGGGAAATTGCTCACAGGAAAGCAAAAGGAAGAAGCTCGAAGATTAGAAGCAATGAGAAAGCAATTTCTCGCTAGTGGCTGGCCTTCGCCACTCTCAACTGAGGAGAGTAGAAAAGAGGCAACCAAACGGCCCATTTACCAAACAAAGAAGTCAAAGTCACAAGCTCAGGCTAATGGCAAAGCCAAGGAAGAGTCCTTCAAAAGAACACAAGTACAAGAAAATCAGCAGGAGATTGTCTCTGACGTTGATGCCATGGAAACTGAGGAGGTTGAGGATATGAATTCGGTAAGTATAGAGGAGAAGTCAGAAGTAGCTGATGCTGAAGAAAACGGAGTTGAGGAAGATGAGGAATGGGATGCGAAAAGTTGGGATGGTGCCGATCTTAATATTCCTGTAAAGAGTGCTTTTGAAGATGAAGAGATAGATTCAGACCCGCAACCTATCATTAAGAAAGAGATTAAGGCCACAAGGTCAGCTGTTAGTGATGCAGCGCCACTGCCGGCTGCTGCCAAGTCTGTAATTATTCCTACTCAAAGAGCTGCTCCAAGTGTTCCGACTATCCCTGAGAATGCTGGAAGTAAGAAGAGAGAGCCTGAGGTTGGGCTTTCTGAAGAAATTGGTGGCCAAAGCGAATACAATCTTCGGTCTCCTATTTGCTGTATCATGGGCCATGTTGATACTGGTAAAACCAAGCTTCTTGACTGCATACGAGGCACTAATGTTCAAGAAGGCGAAGCTGGAGGGATCACACAGCAGATAGGTGCAACTTATTTTCCGGCTGAGAATATACGCGAGAGAACTAAGGAACTGAAAGCAGATGCCAATCTGAAGGTCCCTGGATTGTTGGTCATTGACACACCTGGACATGAATCTTTCACTAATCTGCGTTCTCGAGGCTCAGGTTTATGTGATATTGCAATTTTGGTTGTAGACATTATGCACGGGTTAGAACCACAGACAATCGAGTCACTTAATCTTATAAAGATAAGGAATACAGACTTTATTATAGCTTTGAACAAGGTGAGGTTTATTAGAGGTTGATGGTTTTATTTTGAATTATAATTATATCCGTTTCTTTGTAGTTCTTATTTTGTATTACTCAATGCAGGTAGATAGGCTTTATGGATGGAAAGCGTGCCGCAATGCACCTATTGTGAAGGCGATGAAGCAGCAGTCCAAAGATGTTCAGTTTGAATTTCATGCGAGGCTTACTCAGGTTACTTATTACTGTTTTCATCTCAATTCAATGTTTCCTTTCTATGTGCAACATCATCTTAACCAGGTTGTTGCAGGTCATTACCGAGTTCAAGGAACAGGGTATAAATACAGAATTATACTATAAAAACAAAGATATGGGAAAAGGTACTTTTAGCATTGTACCAACTAGTGCAATCAGGTGTGCATTTTTTTCTTTTGCTCGGTTATGTACTTTGCACTCCTATGAGAGACTGTTTAATTTAGCTAATTAGCTTTATGACAGTGGTGAAGGGATTCCAGACTTATTGTTATTACTGGTCCAATGGACAGCAAAGACTATGGTTGAGAGACTTACATACATCAATGAAGTCCAAGTATGTTTTTCACATACCATGCATCGTCATTTTACTTGCATGTGACAATGAATATGTTATGATTAACTGTTGTCATTTTTCCAGTGTACTGTTTTGGAGGTTAAGGTCGTTGAAGGTCATGGAACAACCATTGATGTGATATTGGTCAATGGTGTGCTCCATGAAGGAGATCAAATAGTAGTTTGTGGCATGCAGGTAACTAAGCTTCTGCTCCCTCCACTCCAATTTATTTGAATGTGTTTGATTGGGCACGAAGTTTAAGAAAAAATAAAAGACTTTTGAAATTTGTGGCCCTAAACAAATAAAAAATGATCGTATTTGTGTGGTTATAAAAATTTCTCATTAAAGATAGAAGGATAAATTTAAGCAAAATTATTTCAAAATTTAGAATTGAGACCTTCTTATTAGAACTAGGTTTATATGAACTAAGAGAGTGAGTATATATTATTTCTATGTTAGTTCTAAGATTCCTCGGGTAATTGTATGAATGTTTCTTTTTTGTGTGTAGGGCCCTATTGTCACCTCAATCAGAGCGTTATTGACACCTGACCCAATGAAGGAACTTCGAGTAAAGGTAGGAAACTACGTGGTTCTTTATGCATTTTCAATTGGTTCCTTTTTTATTCGAGATATGCTTTAACGTCAGTTCAACTCCTTATATAATTTGACATTTGACGGTCAATATATGACCAAGCTGTTTGTCATGTTTGAACTTTGAACTATCAAAGGAAAGAGGGGAAAAAATGGAGGAGATCAGTTGGGGTACGGGGGTTAATTAATAGAATAACTGGGACCCTATTTTTTTATGAAGAGTCGGGGCCTTCCTTTTATCTTGCAATTGAATTTTTCCCCCCTGTGTGTTTCTTACAAATAGTATTGCTGGTGCAATTTTTGTGCTTTACTTGTGAAAATTTGTTGGGAGATGTTTAAACAATATTTATTTCCATCACGACTTGTTTTTCGTTTGGTACACTGGTTTAGAGGTCATGCTAGTAATATTTGGACTTGGTATCTCAAGATCTTCTTGATGCCAAACTTATAATGATTCGGCTAAATGTGGAAAATGAAACGTAGAATGTTAACTATATTGCAAATGGTTTAGCTCAAGTTAGAGATCTTCGATCCAGTATCCACTTATTCTATTTAAACTTTCAAAACTTTGGATATAAGTCTGTATGGTTTTTGAGAAGTGTATCTTTGCTTATGTCCTAATATGTATATTTTTCAGATCTTTTAAATTTGTAGTGCATGGCACACTAAAAAACTCTCAAGAACGAAGTCATCTTCTTGATGTTTAATTTCCGTATGAAGTATATATGAAGGATTTTGTTTTCTCGTAATATTCTTATTCAGGGATCATATGAGCATCATAAAGAAATCAAGGCTGCACAAGGGATAAAGATTAATGCTCAGGTAATTAACGCCATTTGCTTATAAATGCGTGTTCTTTGTTTCTTTCTGTTTTCAGGTATGTTTATTTTTGTCACATTTATAGCTTGGAACGGTTGTAGGGGAAGAAAGTTGGTGCATAGGAAAGCATGTTAAAGGATACTTTTTGCATAAAAATGATGTCTGCAATTTGAAATGGCTGTTGTTTCCGAGCTAAGGATTAGATTGTTGGGAAAAATAATAATCTCGCCCAGAAATAATATCCACGGAAAATAATAATAACACACGAGAGTAACGACACCAACTCTTTTAACGAGGTAAATACAATACCCGAGCGAAGCAATATTACCACTATAATATTACAACTTAGTAGTGTCAAGAGACTACTACAATTTTGAAAGAAATAACACTTTTTATTTAAAACACCTCACTACAATAATATTGTCACTCACTATTTATCTCACAGACACCAATCTGTGGATTACTCTCATTGCTTTGCTTCTGCTTAGCTTCTCTTTGTTTTGGTATGTATTAAATGACGCAACATCCTCCCCTATTTATAGTTGAACGAATGCTCACCAAAACCAATCAAAAATCTATTCTGTTGCGTGCTTGCCAATTTGCAAGATTGCAAATTAGTTACAACCGTCCAACTTTACAGCAACCCACTCTTCTTTATTTCAACCAATCACATCTCTTTCTTTTCTAGCAGCCCACTCTTCTTTATTTCAACCAATCACATCTCTTTCTTTTCTTTTTCCTTTTTTCTAATTGTTTATTTTATTTAGGGACTGGTCCCATAAATTTCTCCCTTAATTTTGAATTTTCTTGGTCATTCCAAGTCTTGATCTCAACCTCTGAAAATCTTCGAACTTGATAGGCTTTGTGAAGATATCTGCAGCCTGATCATGAGACTTCACATATTTGAACTTGACTTCCTTCTTGGCAATGCATTCTTTGCTGAAGTGATACCTTGTATCTATATGCTTGCTTCGATCATGATATACCGGATTCTTGGCAAGTGTCTGTGCGAATTTGTTGTCAATACAAATCTCTGTAGCTTCAATTTGTGGCAAATTGAGCTTCTTCAATAATCTTCTCAGCCAAATAGCATGACACGTACAAGTTGTTGCTGCTATATATTCAGCTTCACAAGTCGAGAGAGTAACAATTGATTATTTCTTTGAACTTCAAGAAATAACAGAATCACCTAAAAAAAATACAAAACCGGTTGTGCTTTTTCTATCATCAATATCTCCTGCATAATCACTATCACAAAATGCCATAAGGTTAAAATCATTATAAGAAGAATAAAATAGCCCAAAGTCAATCGTACCTTTTAGGTAACGAAGAATTCTTCTAGCGACTTTCAAATGGGTGGAGGTAGGAGCTTCCATGAAGCGGCTTACTACTCCAACTGCAAAGAGTATATCTGGCCTGGTACAAGTCAAGTACCTCAAACTTTCCACAAGACTTTTGAAAAATGTGGGATCCACATTTTCTTCTTCATCAAACTTGGACAATTTTGTCCCATTCTCCATCGGTGTGTTCACGGGGTTGCAATCGAGCATGTTGAACTTCTTCAAGATCTCCTTCGTATAGCTTTCTTGAGATATGAAAATTCCATCCTCCATCTGCTTCACTTCTAGGCCCAGGTAGTATAACATGAGCCATACGTCTGTCATCTCGAACTCACGAGACATATCTTTCTTAAAAACTTCAAACAAACTTGGGTTATTACCCGTGAAAATAAGACCATCAACGTAAAGACAAACAAGCAAGATATCTCCATTAGTATGAACTTTAAGGTAAAGAGCATATTCATGGAGATAACGAGTAAACCCATTGTCTTGAAAATACTTGTCGATGCAACTATTCCATACTCGTGGGGCTTGCTTCAATCCATATAAAGCTTTCTTCAACCCCAACACTTTATCTTTATGGTTTTTGACCACGAAACCCAATGGTTGTTCAACATAGACTTCTTCTTCAAGATATCCATTCAAGAAGGCTGACTTGACGTCTAGTTGATGGATCTTCCACTTCATTTGAGCCGCCAAAGAGATCAGCAAACGAATCGTCTCTATGCGGGCAACAGGTGTATAGACTTCTTCATAGTCAATGCCTTAACTTTGCTTGTAGCCTTTAGCCACAAGTCGTGCCTTGTATCTCTCCACATCTCTATTAGCATTCTTCTTTGTCTTGTATACCCATTTTACTCCAATTGCGCGATGACCCTTAGGAAGAGTTGTTAACTCCCAAGTGTTGTTCTTCTCTATTGACTCAATCTCCTCCTCCATCATAGAGCTCTTGAATGCTCATTGCCCTTTGCGTTAGCTAATTTGAACTTTTTTGAGAAGAATGAGATGCAATATTGGTTGGAGAAGGAGGTGGAGTTGTATCCTGCACAAGTTCCATGGTCTCTAGTTCTTCTTCATCGCCAAAATATGGAAGAAAATCATATGAAGTTTCTTCTAGAGCTTCCCAATTCCATGCCAATTCTTCATCAAATTCAACATCACGACTCACCACCATCTTGCCGCTACTTGGGTTGTATAGCTTGTAGCCTTTTGAACTCGTATTATAGCCAACAAACACATGCTTGACACTTCGATCGTCAAGCTTTGCTCTCCCTTGATGTGGCACATGAGCATAGGCTATGCTCCCAAAGATTATCAAGTGCTTGACACTTGGATTTCTTCTATTCCATGCTTTTTGAGGAGTTTGATCTCTAACATTCCTTGTTGGAGACTTGTTATTCAAATAAACTGCACAAGATACAACTTCTAGCCAAAATTCCTTGGGCATACTTTTAGCTTTTAACATACATCTAGCCATATTAAGAATCGTTCGATTCTTTCTCTCTACAACTCCATTTTGTTGGGGTGAATAAGGTACCGTTAGAAGACGACAAATTCTATGAAACTGACAGAAGTCATTAAATTCTTTTGAAGTGAATTCGCCTCCTCTATCGGACCTTAAAGCTTTTATTTCATAGCCACTTTCTTTCTTCACAAGTACTTTAAAATTTTTAAAAATAGCAAAAGCTTCAGATTTTTGGTTCAAGAAATAAACCTAAGTCTTTTTACTAAAGTCATCACTAAAAAGTAGAAAGTATTTACTTTTACCAAAGTACGGTGGATTGATTGGTCCACACACATCAGTGTGAGCAAGCTGAAGCGGTTTAGTTGATCTTGACATGACCTCCTTTGGAAAACTCCTCCTTGCATGTTTTCCAAGAAGACAAGCTTCGTACAATTGATTGGGATGGTTGATTGATGGTATCCCATGCACCATGTTCTTTTCTCTCATTGATTTGAGTGCTTCAAAATTCAAGTGCCCAAATTGCATGTGCCAATACCATGATTCATCTTGCTCATTAGCCTTCAAACATTTTGCATCAATTGTTTTAAGATTCAAAGAAAATAATCTATTCTTTGCCATATGAACTTCAGCAATTAGAATTTCACCTGAATATTTAAGCCAAAGATGTATATTTTTCATGTGGATGTTATATTCCTTTTCAAGAAGTTGGCCCAAACTCAAAATATTACTTTTTAATTTTGGCACATAATAAACATCTTGAATTAGCTTGTGACTACCATCTTTACATGAGATCAGAATCGTACTTATCCCTTCGATTTGAATCTTTGAGGCTTTTTCAAAGGACGCATTACCTCTTACCGTGTTATTGATCTCCACAAACTTCTCTTTGCATCCACATAAATGATTGCTTGCTCCATTGTCCAAATACTACGAGCTGCAACCATCCTTGTCTTCTTCCTTAAGTGACGTCAACAACGTTGACTCATAGTCTTATTTCTTGTCATCAACAAGGTTCGCTTTTTCTTCAACATTGCTACGACATTCCCAAGAGTAATGGTTTTATGAAAATTATAACACTTAATTTTTGATTTTTCATACATTTGTCCATTATTTTCTTGGTAGTAGCCACGTCCTCTTCCTCTTCTTTGTCCGCGGCTAGGACCTCTGAATGTTTGGTGGATTTTAACTTCATTGTTGAAGTTGTTACCATTACTTCTTCCTCTTCCATGACCGCCAAGGCCCCGTCCCCGTCCATTCCCTCGATAGCTCTTTTCACCTCCATAATCCTTGAAGGATGCCTGAGTTTTAAGAAGTTGCTCCAATGACACTTCTTGTCTCCTTTTGATCTTTTCTTCGTGGGCCTATAAAGAGTCCTCCAATTTCTCAACCAGCATAGAGTCTAAATCTTTAGACTCCTCAATCGCACACACCACAAAATCAAATTGAGGTGTTAAAGTGCGAAGGATCTTTTCTACCACACGGACATCTTCTATGTCCTCCCCATATCTTCTTAATTGATTTACAATAGCCTTCACTTTTGAACAATGATCCGAAATGCATTCGGATTCTTTCATTTTAAAAACTTCAAAGTTAGCCCTTAGAGTTTGAAGTTTTACCTTCCTCACCTTGTCAATTCTTTGAAGAGAATTTTGTAAAATCTTCCAAGCTTCCTTTGAGGTGGTAACATCTACCACCTCCTCAAACATAGCATCATCCAAACATTGATGGATGAACATGAGGGCTTGTTGATCCTTCTTCCCTGTCTTTGTCAAGACATCTTTTTTATTTTGAGGCAGAGCTCCCTCATTATCGGGTTTTGCATACCCTCTATCTACGATTTCCCACACATCCTGGGAGCAAAGAATGACTTTCATACGTAGACATCATTTCTCATATTACTTTTGTGAGACGGGGGTACTGAAAAGACAGCGTACCATTATTTGCCATGGCTCTGATACTACGTTGTTGGGAAAAATAATAATTTCGCCCAGAAATAATATCCATGAAAAATAATAATAACACACGAGAGTAACAACGACCCCAACTCTTTTAACGAGGTAAATACAATACCCGAGCGGGGCAATGTTATCACTATAATATTACAACTTAGTAGTGTCAAGAGACTACTACAATTTTGAAAGAAATAACACTCTTTATTTAAAACATCTCACTACAATAATATTGCAACTCACTATTTATCTCACAAACACCAATCTGTGGATTACTCTCACTGCTTTGCTTTCTGCTTAGCTTCTCTTTGTTTTGGTGTGTATTAAATGAGGCAACATCCTCCCTTATTTATAGTTGAACGAATGCTCACCAAAACTAATTAAAAATCTATTCGGTTGCCTACTTGCCAATTTGCAAGATTGCAAATTGGTTACAACCATCCAAGTTTACAGCAACTCACTCTTCTTTATTTCAACTAATCACGTCTGTTTCTTTTCTAACAGCTCACTCTTCTTTATTTCAACTAATCACGTTTGTTTCTTTTCTAGCAGCTTACTCATAATTTCTCATAATTATCTTTTGTGAGACGGGGGTACTGAAAAGAGAGCGTACCATTATTTGCCATGACTCTGATACCACGTTGTTGGAAAAAATAATAATTTTGCCCAGAAATAATATCCATAAAAAATAATAATAACACACGAGAGTAACAACGATACCAACTCTTTTAACGAGGTAAATACAATACCTGAGCGGGGCAATGTTATCACTATAATGTTACAACTTAGTAGTGTCAAGAGACTACTACAATTTTGAAAGAAATAATACTCTTTATTTAAAACATATCACTACAATAATATTATAACTCACTATTTATCTCACAGACACCAATCTGTGGATTACTCTCACTGCTTTGCTTTCTGCTTAGCTTCTCTTTATTTTGGTGTGTATTAAATGAGGCAACATCCTCCCCTATTTATAGTTGAACGAATGCTCACCAAAACCAATTAAAAATTTATTCGATTGCCTACTTGCCAATTTGCAAGATTACAAATTGGTTACAACCGTCCAAGTTTACAGCAGCTCACTCTTCTTTATTTCAACTAATCACGTCTGTTTCTTTTCTAGCAGCCCACTCTTCTTTATTTCAACCAATCACATCTCTTTCTTTTCTTTTTCCTTTTTTCTAATTGTTTATTTTATTTAGGGACTGGTCCCACATAGATGATGTTATATTTTGGAGCCCAAGTTTCTTTCCTTTTTTAAAAAGAAAAAAAAATGACATTTCCCCCCTTGGATAATCTTGGGAGGTGATAGCGATTGCAATAGCAGAAGAATATTCATATTATAATTCCTGGGTTTTCAATTAATACGAAAATACTGTGTGACAACAATCAATACAATAAGCAACGAAAGGAGTTGGGTAAAGTGAACACATGAAACGAACGGTATATTAAATCGAATACCTTAATATATAATGAAGAAACCTATGAAACTCAACCTAGCTAAATCCTACTGATCTCATTCTTGTGCAGGGGCTTGAGCATGCGATTGCTGGCGCTAATTTATATGTTGTGGGGCCCGATGATGACGTGGAGGACATCATAGAAGCAGCTATGGAAGATATGAGGTCGGTGATGAGCAGGATCAGTAAATGCGGGGAGGGCGTTTACGTTCAAGCTTCTACGCTCGGATCATTAGAAGCTTTACTTGAATTCTTGAAAACCCCTGAAGTAAGCATACCTGTCAGTGGAATTGGCATAGGCAACGTGCACAAAAAGGATGTCATGAAAGCTAGTGTCATGCTTGAGAAGAAGAAAGAGTATGCAACAATCTTGGCCTTTGATGTGACAGTAATACAAGAAGCTAGGGAACTTGCAGATGAAGTCGGTGTCAAAATATTTACCGCTGATATTATTTATCACTTATTCGATCAGTTTAAGTCCTATATTGACAACCTCAAGGAAGAGAAAAAGAAGGAAGTTGCTGAAGAAGTAGTATTCCCCTGTGTGCTCAAGATCATACCTAATTGTGTCTTCAACAACAAGGATCCAATTGTTTTAGGAGTTGAAGTTCTTCAGGGCATTGTCAAGGTATTAATTAAATATTGCTTCTTTATATGGTTCAGGACTCTCGTTCATCAAACCCGCACACAAATAATAATAAAAATCTGAAAATCTTATTTTTAAAAAAAATATTAGCTTGTCCATGAGATGTGGTTATATCAGTAGGCAAATCTGAACAAAGACTAAGCGATTTATATGTGTTCTCTGAATTGATATACTTCCATTGGGTTGGCAAAGGGATCTTGCATGCGTACATTTATATCGGTTTCTCTGCATTTATGATATTTTTCTTATCAATCTTCATTCTTAGAACGTAGACATTTTTTAATGTTCTAGTCCTCATTGTGGTTAACTTAATGTGAATAGGTCGGGACTCCAATATGCATTCGACAGAGTCTCGTAGATATTGGTCGAATTGCATCCATAAAGAATAACGATAAGCCTGTTGACTCTGCAAAGAAAGGCCAGAAGGTGTCTATAAAGGTATGAAGCTACATGTTGGTTCATATTTATCTGCGTAAAGAATGTGAGCAGCAATTGATCAAATATTTATGCACATGACTTGGCCTTAAATTGCAGATAGTTGGGTCTAACACCGAGGAGCAACAGAAGATGTTTGGCAGGCATTTTGAAATCGAAGATGCGCTTGTTAGCAAAATCTCAAGAAGATCTATTGACATTCTCAAGGCCAACTTCCGGGTACGTAAAATTACTTTATTTCATGTGAATTAACACTCGATTGTTGTTCCCCTTTGTTCGGGCTGACTTTCAGATGCAACTTTACAGAATGATTTGTCCGTTGAAGATTGGAAGCTAGTTCTGATACTGAAGGCCTTATTCAAGATACAGTGAGACTACTTCTCAAAGCTTTTTTGCAAGTAGCTATTTTACTTGCGAGCGGTGATTTCAAAGATAAACATGTATTTATTCCCAAGAATATCATTATTATCATCGGAGGATGAAAAATTACCTATCTATTTATATCTATATATTAAAAGCACGAAGGCCCTTAACGAAATGTCGTTCGTCTTTTTTACCCTTTAAAAATAGATTTTACATTGGACAAAATTATAATTTAAGTTATTTTTCTAATATTTAGAACATTAAAATCAACTAAACTTTGAATATTAAATCTTTCCTTGTTTAAAATATTATTATAGATTCTTAATATTTAAGACATTAAAATCACTTAAGATTTACCTTTCATAAATTCTTTCCTAATTGAGGTAGCTAACACAAGTATAATTGGTAGTACTAAAAATTAGAAAAACATTAAGGCTAAACGTTAGCTTACTTGTCAAAAAGACACGTAAAAAAATAATCTTTGAGCATAAAATTTTTATTTCAAATAACTATAATTCTTTAATGTTGTTTTTCTTAATATTTACTCCATAATATCTTGAGCTTTACTGAAATTTTGTTTATTAAATTCTCTGTATTTGAATTAAGTCCTTATATTTAGGATTCTGAAATTAATTAAAATTTATCAAGAATTAATTAAAACTTAATCTTCTGTAAATTTTGTTCTTATTTGAATAGTGTATAATAATCATATAAATTCCTTCCGAGCTCACTTTGAACTTTATATATGCACTATAATACTTTTTTTATATTACATTTGTACTCCTTTCCTTCACTAGCTTGCTTTAGTATCCCTTTTTAGTATTTTCTTTTTATTGCACTTTGGTTTTTGTATTCATTTGACATTAGTAAATTATTAGTTACATATTGATATATTTTAAATACTACCCTTCAATATTATATAAGTTTTCAAGGGTAATCTGTTATTTCTCAAACCGGAAAGAAAGCATAATAACTTGTGAAATTGAAATTATGACATTATAAAGTGGGAACAAGTTATAAATTGGATTATTGACTAATGATTGAGAATTTTCATGAGACAGTTTCTTTCTTGAATGAGTTAGTTATACACTATCAACATTCATAATCATCCTCATAAACTTACACTTTTATTTTATATATCACGACCCAATTTCCTCTCCGTGTGACGTCGTAACGACACCTAGTCTCTACAACTAGGTAAGCTTAACATTTTTGCGGAATAATGAAATAAAAATATAAATTTAACCAACTATTCAAAAAAATAAACACAACAAATTTCAAAACCCGGAACATCGTGAATCACAAACTACAGAAGGAAAAATCTAGTGTCTCTATACATCAGAATCTAACAAGGAAAATACAGAAGATAATGGACATGAGAAAGAGTAGAAGGGGACTCCGAGGTCTGTGGACGTGACAGATATACCTTGAAGTCTACAAAGCTGTCCCGGCTCACTGATAGTGCGACTGATAAGGTGCACCTGGATCTGCACACGAAAAATATGTGCAGATAGTAGCACGAGTACACCACAATCGGTACCCAGTAAGTGCCAAGCCTAACCTCGGTCGAGTAGTGACGAGGACAGGTCGGGGACCTACTGGTAAATATATAATATAACAATATAGAGTGTAATACCGCAATAAAATAAAGCCTGAAATTTAACAGCAATGAAATCATAGAAGCTAACAGCTTAGTACACAGAAACATAACAGGGGATCTCTCGAGATACCGTCTCGTAGTCCCAAACGTAAATGTGCAGGGGGATCTCCCGAAATACCGTTCCGTAGTCCCAAAGTAAATATGCAGTTCAGGGGGATCTCCCGGAATACCGTTCCGTAATCCCAAAGTAAATATGCAGTTCAGGGGGATCTCCCGGAATACCGTTCCGTAGTCCCAAAGTAAATATGCAGTTCAGGGGGATCTCCCGGAATACCGTTTCGTAGTCCCAAAGTAAATATGCAGTTCAGGGGGATCTCCCGGAATACCGTTTCGTAGTCCCAAAGTAAATATGTAGCGCAAACAATAGACATACAACTACATTACAAAATGTTACGATTTAGATTAAGTACCAATTAAGGAAGAAGCAGGAAATTCACTAAGCATGCTGCACAGAATTCACATAAATAATTAAGACACGTAGACATGTTGTATTAGACTAAACATGATAGCTACACATATTGGAACAACTCAATTAAGAATGAAAATAGATTAATACTCATTAAAATGGTATAACTCAAAATAACAAGAAAACATGTTGTTGCTCAGTAAGAAAATCGGGTTTTACCACAACTAGACCGTGTACGTACTCGTCACCTCATGTACACGGCGCTCACATATCACAATAGTTCCAAATCTTAAGGGGATTTCCCCCACACAAACTAGGCAAGCTACTTACCTCGAACCAAGCTCAATTAATCGGTCACAATACCTTTCCCACGAATATCCGACTTCGAATGGCCCAAATCTAGCCAAAAGCAATTACGTATCATAAATACAACAATAATAGACTCATCTAATTTACAAAATGAACATTTTAACGAAAATTTCGAAATTAACTCAAAAATTGCTCGTGGGCCCCACGACTCAGAATCGGGCAAAAGTCACAAAATACAAACACACATTCACTCACGAGTTCACTCGTACCAAAATTCACCAAATCCGATGTCTAAATCCCAATCAAAACTCAGAATTTCGTTTAGGGAACTTTTCCCCCATTTTTCCCAACTTTTCAATCCAAAACCGAAATTAAATGAAGAAAATAACTATAGATTAATGAAATACAACTAAAAACGAGTTAGGAATCGTTATCCCAAAGCTCTCTCTCAAAATCCCTCAAAGTATCGCCAATATCCGAGCTCCCAAGTCCAAAAATGGAGAAATGACTCAAGCCCTCGAAATTCTCTCTTTTCTGCCCAGCGAACTCGCTTATGCGCGCCCAGAACTGCGCCTGCGGTACCGCTTCTGCATCTAGGACGCCGCACCTGCGAGTTTTCACAAAACTCCAGAGCCCGCACCTGCGCGCCTAAGTACGCACCTGCGGATGCACTTCTGCGCTCAATCGTCCGCTTCTGCGGAACCTTGGGTCCTTCTCATCTTCGCATCTGCGACTACCCTTCTGCAGATGCGGCTCCGCTCCTGCGGCCCACTCGTCGCATCATATATTCCTTAATCCCCGACCTAAAAGCGCACCTGCGATCCCAGCCTCGCTTCTGCGAGGCCGCACCTGCGGACTTCCCACCGCAGGTGCGAAAACACCAGAACCAACAACTTCAAAATTCTTCTACAGTCCAAGCTTTCACCCGTTAAGCACCCGAAACTCATCCGAGGCCCTCGGGACCTCGACCAAACATACCAACCAATCATAATATACCATATGAACTAAGTCGAGCCTTCAAATCACATAAACTAACGCTAAAAATCATAATCATCCTCCGATTTTAACTTAAAGAACTTGAAACTTCTAAATTCGACAACCGACGCCGAAACCAACCAAACCACGTCCGATTGAACCCAAATTTTGCACACAAGTCATATTCAATATTACGGACCTATTCTAACTTCTGGAATCAGAAAATGACTCCGATATCAAAAATTCCACTACCGACCCAAAACTCCAAAAATTCGACTTTCGCCAATTCAAGCCTAAATGAGCTACGGACCTCCAAAACATAATCCGGACATGCCCCCAAGTCCAAAATCACCTAACGGAGCTAATAGAACCGACGGAACTCCATTCCAAAGTCGTCTTCACACAGTTCTGACTACGGTCAAAAATTCTAAGAATTAAGCTCTCGTTTTAGGGACTAAGTATCCCAAATCATTTCAAAAACCAAAACGAAACCTCCCGGCAAGTCACAATAGCAGAAATAGATATGGGAGAAGCAGTAAATAGGGGATTAGGGCTATTACTCTCAAAATGACCAGCTGGGTCGTTACATCCTTCCCCTCTAAAAATAATCGTTCATCCTCGAACGAGCATAAAGACATACCTGAAGTGGTGAAAAGGTGAGGGTAACGGCTGCGCATAACATGCTCGGTCTCCCAAGTCGCCTCCTCGACCTGTTATCCTCTCCAATAAACCTTCATGGAAGCAATGTTCTTTGATCTTAGCTTTCTTACCTGCCTGTCCAAAATAGCCACTGGCTCCTCAACATAAGATAGATCCTTGTCCAACTGGACTGAGCTGAAATCCAACACATAAGACGGATCGTCGTGATACTTCCGGAGCATAGAAACATGAAATACCGGATGAACTCCTGCTAGACTGGGAGGCAAGGCAAGATCATAAGCAACCTCCCCAACTCGACGCAACACCTCAAATGGACCAATGAACCTTGGGCTCATCTTGCCCTTCTTTCCAAACCTCATAATGCCCTTCATAGGTGAAACCCGGAGCAAGACTCGCTCTCCAACCATGAATGCCACATCGCGAACCTTCCGATCCACATAACTCTTCTATCTGGACTGGGCTGTGCGAAGTCTATCCTGAATCACCTTCACCTTTTCCAAGGCATCATGAACCAAGTCCGTATCCAATAATCTGGCCTCGCTGGGATCGAACCAACCCACTGGGGACCAGCACCGCCTACCATACAGAGCCTCATACGGTACCATCTGAATGCTGGACTGATAACTGTTGTTGTAAGCAAACTCCGCAAGTGGCAAGAGTTGGTCCCAAGCACCTCCAAAATCTATCACACATGCACGGAGCATATCCTCTAATATCTGAATAGTGTGCTCGGACTGCCCGTCTGTCCGAGGGTGAAATATTGTGCTCAACTCAACCCGAGTACCCAACTCATGCTGTACAGCTCTCCAGAACCGTGATGTAAATTACGTACCTCGGTCAGAGATAATAGATACCGGTATGCCATGAAGCCTGACGATCTCACGGATATAGATTCGAGCTAGCTGCTCGGAAGAATAGGTAGTCATCACAGGAATGAAATGAGTGGATTTGGTCAACTTATCCACAATCACTCAAACTGCATCAAACCTCTGCTGAGTCCGTGGGAGTCCAACCATGAAATCCATAGTGATCCGCTCCCATTTCCACTCCGAAATCTCTAACTTCTAAAGAAATCCACCTGGTCGCTGATGCTCATATTTTACCTGCTGGCAATTCAGACAT